TAAGGGTTAGGGTTCTGTTTGATTGTTTGAGGAAAAAAAATGTTTCGTTGATTGTTTCTTAGCGCCATGCTTTCCTGACGTTGTGCTATTGTCTGGGATTGATCCGATTAGGAGGCAAGAAAGGTTGGATTTTCTCTACGAGTCAGGATTGGCGGTGGGAAAGGGGAGTTCAGATGGGTTCAAGGCTCTTCAAGCACCACCAGCGGCGGCTTCCACTACCTCAACATCCGATGCTAGTTCCTCCAAGGTACAATTCTTTTAGGATTATTATGTACTTTTATCATGATTTTCATTTTTGTGAATCATCATGATTGAGTATAAAGATTTGGCGTATTGCATGATGGCATATTACTTTATCATACCATGATATGAAAAGTTTGTAACCATGATTTGCTGACCTCTAGTATCACTGGATGATAATCATAATCATGCATATCTTTCTCTTTTGTTTCTTATTTTATGGAACCTTTATTTTTAGGGCTACAACTGTGTACATTACCCTTCCCTACACCTCATATTGCTGGGAGCTTCAGGCACCAGATGCACTTCTTATTTCATGGAACTTCTTTTTTGTGTTGAATTTTGTCAATAGGAAAACCCATTTTCACAGAGTATTCAGTAACATCTAAGAATTTCCATCACTTTGGCTACGGAAGACATCAGTCATACATGTCTCTTACGAATTATTTATTAGTAATAGTTTACATTTTTTAGAACTCCAGTAGATATGGAATTTCGGGCAACACCTGCATTGATTTTAAGGTGGCCAAAATTCTTTAACCCAATTATATATTAATGACTATCTTGATAAGTTGTCTTAGGGATTTCATGTTCAAAGATGGACTTGGAATAGCAGAGGCCTTTTTGTTTTTGTCTACTTTTTCATAAAAGAACTAATGTGAAACATAGAAGAATTTTTATCACAAACTGTACCTTGAGCACGCTCAAGTTGTTTTTTCTCTTAATTATTTTAAGCTACACTATGATATGTCTGACCCTCGATCATGTTCACCATACCTTTTTCTCTTAATTATTTTCAGTTTCACTATGATTTGTCTGACCCTTGATCATTTTCACCGTTCCCAAAAATCTTCGGAAACTGCCACTTCAGCTGTCATCAATGATCAAACCTAATAAATATATGTGATTATACAAAAAATGCATATGTCAATTTACCATGAGTAGATAGTTGATTCATCATGGCTGGTACATGATTGTAAGTGCATTATCAAGGTGATAATAAATAAAATATTTGACAGTCACATTTAATAGTTTAACAGTAAATATTTCACCTTTTTGCAGTGGTAAGCAGGATATTCGACATATCATTTTAAGCTCCGACACCTATATGTGACTTGAGCAAAGTGCTCCTATACTGTGTCTTCATGGATTGGCATTTTCTAGATGCATGAAATGTCCCAGAGTTTGAGTGCTTAAAATTTTAGAGATATGCTTTTCTTATAAACTTTTTTCATTTTATGTAAAGAGATAAAGTAATTTTCAACCTATACTCCTGACCACATGGGCAAAAAATGGCTAGGACAGATAGCTAGAAACCAATTTTTTGCTAGTGCTCCATGAACTTTTTACTTTTAAAACAACATATTTTGATTGTTTGCAAGCTCTACAACTACACTAAACTAGGAAAATTATGAACTAAATACACCTCAAGAGTAGCATCAGAATGCTAATTTTTCTTCTTACAGTAGATATTCATCATTATGCTACATTTCTCTTTCTTTTTCTCTGTGCTTGTGTCCTTCCTCTTCTTTCTTTCTTCCTTTTTTGTTGCTTTCCTTCACTTCTATCTTTGAAATCTCATCCCATATAGCAAAAGGAGCACTCCCCGTCTCTTTCCTTGCTATCTGTGGTGTTACCAAGTCCCAACTCTTCACCTCATTAAGAATAAAATTATTGATCCATTGTAGCTATGCTGCTTTAGCTATCGGTACATCAGCAGAACATTTCTGTTATATGTAGAACACAACAATGATCCTTCGGCGGATCAGAATAGGGGTGTGTGACTATAGGAAGTCTCTCTTGTGAAAAATCATATATTAATATATGCAAGATATATTTAAAAATGTTGTATGCTATTGTGGATACTGTAATTGTACACCCACCTTTATTCTCTTCTTTCTGGAGCCTGTTTTTTTTTCTTTTGTTTACATCTTTCACAAATAAACATTTGTATATGTGGATGGAATGGACTGAGTACTGTTACAATGTTGGCTTTTACTGTAGATTTAGGTGAGTAAAATAAGTATTTACTAAATATGTCTGATTGAGGCTTTTGCATGCTGCCTTTTGATATGCTAGCTGTTGGACGCAGTGTAATACTGTGCCACCATGTTGT